GGGATCCTTCCTGCCCCAAGGGAAGGGCACATCCCAACCCAGCACAGGCCACCGGTGCCGACACTGCCCACAGCTGGAAAACTTGCCAGGAACAAGGCAAATAAACCAAGGATGGGCAGAAACCACCTCCATCCTCACTGACATCACATCTGAATGAGCTGGGAGCATCCAAATTACTCCTAAATCACCCATAGACCACAGCTTCCTACAGGATTAGGAGCTCACCTGAGCTCTCCCAAGAATGGAACCGGTTTGTGCCCCAAAGCTCCATGAAATCCCTTTTTTTCCCAGCTTGAATTGAGCACTTGGAGGATCCTGTCAGGAGCTGCAGCCACGAGCCCTTTCCTTTCCCTCTTTTCAAGGCACATCTCACTGCAGAGAAGCCCTGAATGCTTATTTAGAACAGAATTAGAGCATTTCCAAACTCCCACATTTACATAAGGCGAAATATTCCCGCAGAGCCACAAAAGACACAGGAATAATTAAAACATTCCAAGTTTTGGGCACCCATTTAATTTCTTCCCTGAAGACACACCAGCCCATCCCTGTTTCCCATGAAGCACTTAGTTCTCATCAGAACCATCTACAGCAGGGCAAAGGCACCTGAATTAAAATTAACAGGTTGTGTTTCAGTATTGGAAATTTTATAGCACTGAACTGGATCAATAAAAATGTACTTTGGAAATAAGAGAGTCTCCCATGTGATCAATTCATAATCCCCTTTTTTCTCCCAAACTCTTCCCCCTGCAGAGTAAAATGTCATCTCTGGCATCACAAAAATTAAGAAGTGGAAGCCTCAGAATTTGTAGGTTTAATAATAAAAACATATAAATCCAATAAAAATATTAAACCCATATATATATATCATTAAAAATATAAACCCCAATAGTGTCTCCCACAATTCCCCCTTATCTCTAGGTTATATAATATTTATATATCTATTTAAATAAATACCTATATATTTAAAACTTCAGAACTGAATTTTAGAAAGCTTCAAGCTTTTCCATAATTGGGTTTTTTATAGTTTTGACTATTCTGAAGTGAAGAAGGCAACAATCACCGGGGTTTTTCTGCAGGAAATGGTTCTACATAAAGTGTGAAATCAAATTTTCAGACTCAAAGCTGTTCCAGCCCCAAAGGATAAAATCCCACAGATAAACAGAGATCTCAAAAGTCTTATTGTCTTAAATACCAAAAAACAGAAGATATTTTTAATTTTTCCCCTCAACTATTAAAAATATGCAATGGGCTTTTAAACACTCACCTGAGCTTTCACTTTTACCTCATTTTAAGAGATATTTTTCCACCTGCTTTCTGATAACCAGAGAGGATTTACTGTGGTCGATGTAAAATGAAGTGTAAGAACTCAACTCCCACCCTGCAATGGCAAAATTGGGGTTATATTTGATAATTAATCCAATAATTAATCCATCTCACCAGCACCCAAACAACAGAATTTCAATCATTTAATCCCTGCTTCTTGAATTGGTTTATGAGGGTTTAAATCAAGCTTAAATATTTAAATATTTAAGGGATTATTTGTTTTTAAGGGATATTAAATCACTGGAGAATCACTGTTTTTGCACTGGGCAATAATGTAACCAAACCATACCTGAAACATCTGTATCCTTCTGCTCTTTTTTATTTATTTATTATTTGGTCTTATTAAGAAATTTATGAACTATGCACAAAAGGGTCACATAATGATTTACAAACCAGAAGACATTTCCCATATGTACAGATATTTTGAGGGTAACATTTGAAAAATACATATTAAACAATGTCAGTGATGAATAACCCGCTCCTGTATTTATCACACAAAGAACTTCTGCAAAAACATCTCAAATATACAGCCAATTTCATATGTAAAACAAAGAAAAAGTGTATCTTGATGAAATAACACAAATGTAAAAACAATATTTGCAAATCAAGTGCTTTGGGCAGAAAAAAAAAACACATGAAATGCTCTTCCTTATTTTGAATATTGTTGTCAGTTTTTCATGTCAGATGCTACAAAACCAACCCCCAGTGCTGGTTTTACCTCAAACCACCCTAAAAGCACATTCCAAAGCATTTTAAACAATTTACAGTCTCTCAGAAAATACCCTTTATTGGTAAATAGTTTGCTCAGTGACAATCCTGAGTTGCTGAAATCACCTGAAATCACCTGTTAAAGAACCTGCTGGTCCATATGCACTGACAGAAACAGGTATTTCCATAACTGGGAGTGAAGTGGTTTGTATTTCACAGGCTCAAACTCCTTTTTTACATTTTCAATACTTACAGTTTGCTAAATTTGCTTTTAGGACAATTTAAACAAGACTTTGGAGAGGTCCCTGAGGCTGCAGAAATAACCCAACTAGGTGCTTAAAGAGAGAAATTAGTGGCAACCAAGGTTAAGTCATTTGAATGGCAAAGACAATTCAAAAGCCACGAGCAGAGGGACAGCTAATTTCCCTTTTTTCTCAGATTATGGACTAAAATGGAGCCAGAAAAATGAACCCAGCTCAAAATGAGAGCGAAGAAACAATTCTGTGTGTCACCCAGCCATTGAGATCTCCACAAATTCTCACTCCTGTTGCCCACTAAATGTTCCTGTGGCTTTTTTTTTTTATGTTTATCAAAATATGCCAGCACAAAACATTGCAGAAGCACTTGTTAAGGTGCCCAAAATGTCAGTTATTGCTGCACAGTCACACTGGTCCTCCCTGCAGGACTGGCTGCTGCTTGTTCTCTCTCTTTAACAATTTCCATCTGGATTTTGGCTCTGATTTTATTCCAGTCCACTTCCAGCTGTAAGAACAGAAAAGCAAATACCCAGAGCTCAATTAGAGAGAGGTCAGATAATTATTCACTAGCAGGACAATTGGAAGATACAATTACAGAGCATTTAAATTCTATTCATGGAAGATATGAAGGCACAGTTGAGTTCTAACAGAGCTTCCACCTTTAAAATCAACCAAGCTTGATCTATTTTACCAGGACACATCTCATTGTGTCTGGCAATAAGACATTAAAACACAAAAATAACTTGCTTCTAGTTTCAATGTCATGACATCAGTGTCCTGTTACTGAGAATTCATCAATAATAAACGAGGGATGTCTCCTCTGGGTAAGCTGAGAGCATATTACACCAGTTATCTGCTGTAACAGAAATCAGATTTCTGCTTCAAAGTTTGCCTCCTGCATCAATAAATGTTTTGGAATTGTCATTTTCTGCCTGTATTCTGTGTCAGTGAAACTTCAGCCCATGGATACAGCACAATATCCACAGGACAAATGCGAGGTACAACAGTTGTCTGGCTTTCCAAAAATGCTTGATGTGAAAAAAAAAAATGGATTGTGGAGCATTTGATGACCATAAAAACATGTCCAAAAACTGGGGAAAAAATGGAATTTGGAATTTGTGCAGTTCAGTTTCACTGCTGGAGAACTAACCCTGTCAAAGATGGGATGGGAAAAGGATTTCAAGTGCTGCACAGGGAGTTTTTGGAGTAGCTGCTCCTCCGTTAACCAAGTCAGGGAATAACAAGGAAGGTTCTCCATGAGGGAAGATGTTACTGCAATGCCCACGTTCTCAGGTGAAAAGGCTCATAATACCTTAATTCAGGATGCATTTACTGGGTCCAGGATTCTCAGGATATATAAAAAGTATTAAAAAACTGATGGGTAAAATATAGATACAGCCATTAAGTACATTGTTTAGGTCAGTCTAGAAAAGAGGAAAAAAGTCCTTATTTAAGCCTGAAGGAGTTTTAGGTGGTGAGAGGGAAGCTGAGACCCTTTTTCATCCCTGAGAAGGGATAGCAGCACAAAATCTGGCTTTTCTCTTGCGTGCCCTTGTGATTTCCTTCTGATTTTGCTTTATGAGGTTGCAATGAAAATTTAGTTACAGGTTAAAATCCACTCCATTCAACAGGTTCCCTCTTACCCTCAGATCCAGCAGACGAGACCTCTGGCACGTGGATGTGGAAAAGGATTCCTTTACTCCAGAAATCTGCAGTCTGAGACCCAAAGTTTCAAGACTGTGAGGTGAAAAACCCCCTTGCTTAGAAATCCTTCCAGAATGTGCAGCTTTGGTGATGATTTAAAGCCAATCAGTGCCCATTTCTCTGAAATGTGCCTCTGGGGAGCGCCAGGGGATTAATGTGATTTTTGCTCTATCGTGGATTTAAAGGACAGAACACACACTCCCAGCACAGCAGCTGGAAGTGCTGCAGGATGGGAGTGCTTGGGATGTGTGCAGTTATCCTGCTGTATTTTTGAGGTGAATTATTGCAGAATAGGTTCACTGGGGGCCAGACACTGGGCAGTCCATTGTTGAGGGAAGGAAACATCCCCAGGAGTGTTAAAAACTAATGACTTCCATTAGAAACTCAGCTTTATTGTCCAATTAAAGGATCTGAGCTAACAGCTGGCATGTGTTTCCTGATCCAGCAGCTCCACTGGATGGAAGGATTTGATAAAAAGGTCCCTTTTCCTAATTTCACCCTCAGAAAGCTGAGGAACAATGAAGGGAAAAGCAGGAAGGACATGAGGGCTGTTCAATGAAAGGTGCACATGTGGGTGTCTCTCAGAAGGGAAATGTGTGGGAAGGCTCCAGTGGAATCCAAGATACTTCCAACCTGATGAACTTTAAGATCTGCCCTTAAAGACAGCTCCCCCATCTGTCTTTAAGATCTGTTAAATGCTAATACATTGAAAAATAGTAATAAATTGAAGTGACCTCCTGATGATGGAGAGGGTTCCCAGGGTTTGCTGACAACGGATATTTAACTGTTTATCATATCTGGCAGAATGGTTTGTAGTTCACTTAATAAATATCTGGATACCTTCAAAGTTTGTTATTGTTGGTCTCCATAAAATGACATTAAAATATTGAAGACATTTAAAAGAGACACCTTTAACCACAGTAAGGTCCAGCTCCTTGTTTATAGAAAACTACTGTGCCTTTATTTCTATAACTCTTGCCAGATATTATATATACATTTATATATATATACACACACACACAAACACACATCAATATATATATATATATTTTCTGTATCTGTACCTTCAAATAAAACACATGCCCAGCTCTTCCTGGTCAAGCAGCCACACACCAAACCATAAACTTAGATGTAAAATCTTCATATTTATGTTCACATTTGAACCACAAAAGGAAAATATAAGAGCAAACCCATCCCACAAAAAATCAGGAATAATCCTGAGGAACACTTACCCCTTCTGCATATTGCAAAAATCTCCTGTTGGTTTCTTTTTTACCAAAATCCTCCAAGAACTTCTGCCTATAAGCCAGGACTGTGTCAACATGTGTCTTGTGCTTCACTGCAAGTTCCAGGGCCCTGGGATGAAGCAGAAATGGGGTTGCCAGGCTGGAGAAATGCTCTGGCACAACTACAGGGTTGGAAAAGGACACCCTGGGGGCTGCAGGCACAGATCCCTGAGCCCAGTGCCAAGCAATTCCACATTAGTGTCAGTCACAGGAGGTTAAAATTGGCTACTTTATGCAAAATATCCAACAATTATTTCTGTTGACAACCTCACCACGTCACTCGCTGGACAACAGGAGGCTTTTTATTTCAAGGAAATACAGAATATTTTAGCCCTCTCAGTATAAAAGATGGCAAAAATAATGATGTTTAGTAACTTTTCTACAGTCAGGAATAGCTTCTGAACATAAACTATGGTATGTACCCGATAGTATTTACAACTATTGTAGAGGTGGGAAAGATTAGTCATTGGATTAATATAATTCATTGCTCACATCTGTTTTCTTCTCAGAAAGGAACACTTCTGTTTGATATACAGAGTTTTTAGATGACATATAAATAACAGAATATCCTTTTCCTGATATCCAGCCTACACACCTCCCTGACACAGCTTCAAATCAGGCAACAAAATAAAAACCCACAGATATGTGGGGGAAAAAACAACCTTTTGCCCCCAAAATGTGATGTGAATATAGCAGAGATACCAGGAGTAAATGGCCTCAGAAGATTCCGTCAGAAAACGTGGGCTTTTGTTTAAAGGAGAAATTCCTGCTTTGTTTTCTCAGGCCTAATTCATATTTTATCCACCTACACAGTGCTGGGAGCCTGAATAGCCACAGGTCTATTTTTAGCAACAAGACATTTCGAAACAGCCCTAATTCCTGGAGGGTCAGGTCCAGTTTGGGGCATCACTAAGGACTTTTTCTGTGTTAGCAGTGATGAAACAGCAAAATGTTATTTAAAAATCCTTCCAAGCATGTTCTGGACTTTCATCACAGAATATCTAAATATGGCACAAGAAGGTTAAACATGTTCCTTTTTTTGGTTGCTGTCAGGATATGATTTGCTTCATCTTTTCACAGACCTGGGTGAGTCAAGGCAGAAAATTAGTCAGCTAAGTATTAGTCAGCAAGAAAACAACTGGTGTAAATAATCAGGGCAACTGCTTATAAACATGTTTGGTTTGCAGAAATCCCACCTGTCCCAGTTGTAGAGGTTAATGTTGACTTGGATAGCTTGATAAATCAGGCCTGACTGAAGCAGCAGAGTCTCAGCTTCCTGGGTGTTCCCACTGAACAGCAGCATATGAGCCATCCTTGACTCCCTGGATGGCAGCTCCTTGATGGAATTGATGTACTGGACTTTGTCAATCTGCCAAGGAGAAGCACAGCAGTTTAATGAGGGAAATTAATGAATAAAACGAGCTTTGCAGCAGTTGAACTGGGAGTTTAAGCCCATTTTCTTACCTCCCCAATGGCTGCATAGGCGATTTCAGCCGTGGTCATGTCTTTGTTGGCCACTGCCATGGCAGCCAAACACGCCCACAGGCTCTGGTCCTGAAATTAAAACCAAAAAGCAGCTTTTCCTACTTCAAATATTTATTGTCATGCTAAAAATCGCTTCCCAAAGGAAGCACACAAGTCCTGAAACTATACCTTTCTCATTATGCTATACATGGCACCATGGGCTGAGTTTCCCATTACAAAATCACTGCTTAATTACTTCTCTGAACTAGGAATTAGAAAAATTTATGGGTAATAATAATATTGCACCTTTTTTTTGTTAATTTTCATTGCTCCTGTTGCTTGGTTGTTTCTGTCTGTTTGGTTTTTTTTTTAACACAGTCTTAAGGAAACCCCAAGAACTCAGAATAACATTTAGGAAGATCCTAAATGACATTTTGATACCAAGTGACAACACTATGACAAAGACATACTGCTCAAACATATTTCTAATCTAAAAATATGTTTTCTATATGTTTTCTAATATAGCCCATAGTTAGGCTACCACAGCTGAAAGCTCTAGTTCAGACAGGAAAAACATCATTTTTGACCTGTTAGTCCACGTGGAATTAGGTGGGTTTTAGTATTTTTGTTGAATATGTTCAATAACAAATTTGGAAACAAATTTGCACTGTGAAGAGGTTTAAATCAGAATAGACACTGAGTATGATCTAAATGTGTTCCTGTGTCTCCCAACTGACCCTTTCCATAATTCAAGACAAACCTTCCTGCAGGCAGTCCATAATTTGGGAGAATTCAGATTATTCAGAGAATCAAGCGCTCATAAAAATCTTTGTCATGTTTTCTTCCCACTTCCCTATTATTTATAAAATTTGGTGATAACATGGAAAATTCAGACTGAAATTATGCAGAGGAAGTCTGTAGGAGTTGCTCCCTGATGGGTCTTGCTGCTCTTTTCCCCCCCCCTCAGAAATATCCTTCCATTTTCTTATTCCTGATTGGAAATATTTTGAACTGTCTACCTGGGTTGCCAAAAATCAAAATAACCTGATTTGGATGCTTAAATCAGATGATGAGCAGACTCTTCATGCTGAAAATAAAGACTTTATTCCAATTCTACAACCCAACTTATGTGGATGTGTATTGATTTTATAAAGCAATTACAGGAATATCTGAAATGCACATTTAAGGTCACAATGAAAACTCTTTTCTAGGAGTAAAGGGGATAAAGGAACTAGAGTTTGGAGGGATTTGGTTTTGTTTTAAAGACTACCAGACTCACCTCATCTGTTGCTGTTGCCTAAATATATATAAAAGCAAGCAAGGGAAAAGAAAAAAACAAAAACAAGTGAAAGAAAATATGAAAAATAAGAGATAATTGTGGAGATGAAGGTCACTCTTAACTGGTTTTATTAAAGCCCAGTCCTGAAAAGTTAAGCTCAGAACTAAGTTCTGTGAGTACCTGTGTTCAACCCAGCAGGGGTGACTAAAAATCAGAATTATTGTTTATAATGAAAATGGTGACATTATGTAGATTAGGTAACAAAATTATGATTATGAGAGTAGATTATGAAAACCATGGAATTTTCCATTCCAGAAGAATTGGAACGAGATGCAACATCTGATCTGCAGATGTTAAAGCAATACCAAAGAACTGTCAAAGAAATACTTAAAACCATAAATATTGCATGGAATGGCAGCTGGATATTCCCAAAAATCAGCATTTACCTTGACAAAGCGACACAGCCTGACAGCATCTTCCCAGTGGGAAGCCCTGACGTAGTCATGGAGAATCCCGGGATAAGGGGAAATGTTCAGGTGGACAAGGGAACCATCTGCTCTCCTAATTGTTATTTGATTCCCTACAAAACTCACAATCTGGGGGTTTTTGCTGAATTCACTGCGGGGAGAAAGGAAAGGGAAGTTAATCTTCACTTCTTTCTACAGAAATATAAATTATCCCTGACTTCGTATCTTTCTATTTTTAATTTCCAACAGGCAATTTAAACAAATCTTCTTTTTTGTTTGTTTTTTTTTCCAAGCAACTAAGGCAAGATTTCACGAGACAGAATTAAAATCTTGCTTTTGCATCAAGATGCTGCTCTACTTTCAAACTGCACATCATCATTTCAACTCCAAACTTTAGGATTTAATTAGAACACCCACTTTTCCCCCCTCATTTCCTAATCCAGAAATGGCAACGTGAAGGGAGTTTGAAGAGTTGCAACCCCTTGGTTCTACTTCACCTGAACAGAGTTTGGTAAGGGCTGAGTAAATTAGTGAAAATATACCCTTTTTCATCAAAATATGATGTATTACCTTCCATCTTTTTCATAGAGGGTTTTTGGGAGGAGATCTTTGTCCACATAGACTGTGTTGGGGTAGTACCAGACTGTGAAACGGGTGTCCTGGATCCCACAGAGGATGTTGGAAGTGTCATTCCAAGCCAAAGTTTGAACCATTGTCCCTTAATTTCAAGACAAAAATATGCATTTCCATGAGACACTTCAAAATGAAGTTACCCTTCTCAAACTGGAGTAAAAGGGTAATTATATTCATCATTTTTAGCTCATTTTAGTAGGGCTGGTTTTAACCCCCTGGTTTGTGACAGCTTTACATGTTTTACATGGAATTTATATAAAAATGATCAGAATTCAGGTAAAATGTACCAAAATAGTTTCTACCTCTCTCTTATGAAAGCCAAAGGACTATTTCTCATGTTTTTTTCAAGTTGAATTTCACTATTAATTAAAAAGCCAAATGTTGACTCTTGTACTAGAAAAAACTCTATTTCCCTCCCAGCATGTTCCTAAACATGAATTTGAATTTTTTCTTACCTATTTTGACAATCTTCTGCTCTTTCCCAAACCTTTTCACTGAAGTGATGTAAAGATCTCTGTTCTTATCGATAAAAGCGATTTTTCTCTCACTCGTAAGTCCTTTCTGGTCCAAAGCAATCTCCACAATTTCAGTCTGAAAAGGCAAAAAAAAGAAGATTTCCAAGTTTTATTTTGGACATTCCTGTCCCAGAAAGCAAATGACATTCAAGCAAATAGATGTTTCCTCAAAATAAGGCACAAAACACTGAATAAACTGGGTTGTGGGAAGAGACACTTTGTGTATGAAGTCTCTGTTGAATGAAGCTTTTCATGGCAGGGGGTTGGATTTCGATGATTTTTAAGGCCCATCCCATGATTCTGTGATTTTATAAACTGAATTTCATGCAGATTAAAACAAAGCTGCAACCCTGGTTTGTTATGCACCAGAAGAGTGAATATAAGAGTCAGTTAGAGCTGAAAAGCTCCTTCATAGAAAGGTTTTAAAACCTTTAACAGTCTCATTATTGATGAAACCCACTATTGATTCTTAATTTCTAAGTATAATAAAAAAACAGACATTATATCCTTCACCTTATGGGTCAGAGGTTTTCCATCACCCAGTGGCTTTCCAGATAAAGCTTCAAAGATGTAAATAACTGAAGAAAAAAAAATACAGTTAATTAGTTAAAAGCAACAGAAATGACACCAAATTCTGAGGCAAGTTAATAAATAAATTCATGTTCCCCATATCAGATTTACTCAATCTTAACCCACAATTTTGGTCAATATGAATGTTTAGGAAGTGATACCATTGACTGACTGATTAAATTAAACCAAAGGATTTAATGTCAGATATATTAAAAGATGTCCTTAGAACTGTTGGGGAAAACATTCCTCAAAAACATTGTTTATTTTGTTAATAATCTGCTTTATTTGGAATTCCTAATGCATATTTTCTTCCAGGACAGTTCAGTCTTCTGCTCATGATGCCACAGTTATGATTAATTAATATTACATATTAATTACTGGCTTCCTAAAAAAATACTTGGTTAATCCAGGTATTTTGGATTTTACTTGATATTTGAATTTTCCTTGATGCTTGAATTTTATATATATATATCATATATGACATATATAATTCTTGCACCTTTACCACTTGTTCCACTCTCTCTGCCTCCCCTTTAATAAAAAAAACCCTTCAAAAAACCCCCACCTACATAATTTGGTTTTTTTGGGGTGTCCAGTGAAAACTCCAATTTGCAACTTGCCTAAAAATGAAGTTTCTTTCTCTTTGTTTCCATCTCTCTCTATACAAACACAAACCCCTGTGTTCGAAACCTCTTTATAAATACATATATTTATATATATTTCTGTGTAATAAACAAATAAATTATAAACACATACAATCTGTGAACATACACACAAATTAGAGGCAGGGTGAGCACTCAAAGCAGCATTTTAAGGAAGAGCTGTAACTAAAAGCACATGATTTTACAGGCAGAATTCAAAACAAAAAAAAGGCCAAACTGTCAGAGCAGGTGTTCAAACCCATCAGTTGGTTGTGCAGAGGAGGCAAAAAAAAAAAAAAAAGGTTGAACATACAAAAGAAAACTTGTTGTTCCTGAGAAGTGCTTTTTTATCTCACTTTTAGGCTTGAAATTTGTAGATCTACCCAAGCAAGTCGATTTTACAGCCCCCAGAGCAGCTGGAGGAAGTGAGATTAAAGGAGTGTGTAAAAAACCCACTGTGCTAATCCACAAGTCAAATGGGTTCAATTCTCATTAACCTACAATTGAGGGATTTCAGAAATAAGTTTGGGGTTGGGTTGGTTTTTTCTTTTCCTACCTGAAAAAACTCTACGTGGTTTTTCAATCATTTAAACCCTCAAATGTATCTTTTTTCCAGGCAGAAATTAAAAATATTAATAAAGGTCGTTGTCTTCCCTTTGACCACCCAGAGAAAGAAAATTGTGTGTATTTTAACAGATGTGTTTTATTATCAGGGAATATCACTGAGCTTTTGGTGTCAAAAATACAACATTTAAGAGCATAAAAACCTTCAAGGACACAGCACTGAGACAGAACATCACATCAGCTGTAAATAAAACTTATATATATATATTTATATATATATAAAGATACAAATCTATAAAAGACATAAACCTACAAAGATACAAATGTAAGATAAAGCTATGAAGATACAAGTCTATTAAAACTATAGCAAAGAACATCTGAGAACTAAAATTTATCCCAGCTAAAGCACTGGAAGTCTTTTTAAGAGCAGCAGGAAAGCACAAAAAGTTGCTGAGGTTTTAGAAAAACCCCATGTGAGGGACTGAAAACCTATTTTTCTCTTATTTTCTGCAAATACTCCATGGTTCTGACCCATTACTCAACTGTGATATATATATCTATAATTCTCTTTAACTTTTTAAATCAATTTTAAGCAAGACCCATAACGTCAATTAATTTTACAGTGAATATATGAATTTAAATTTATTTTTAGAGTGAATATATTAATTTCTACAATAAATATATGACTTTTTTTTTTAATAAATCCCAGAGAACTTACCCTTCTCATCAGCTTTGTCCTTTACTGCCAGAGTGTCATTGCTCAGAGACACTGTCTGGGCATTTAAAATGTCTGTTCTCATGCCTGGATATTTTGGAGAGGAAATTAATCTGCCTTCATATGAATATAAATAAAGTCCTCCACCATCTACAAGAAGAAAATGCCTACAAAAAAACCACAAAAAAAAAACAAACAGCAAAAAAAATTAAACACTAAATAATACAGAAAAACACAAAGAAATTTTCACAATGTGAAGGTAATTGTTTAATATCCTGCAACTCTTTCTGGTTCAACCCCATTATTTCTAAGCCTGTGGGTATTCTGGAAGTTTTGTGTGGAAGAGTTAATTTTTAATGTGAATGTTATCTTTTGCCAGGAGAAATATTTATTATTTGAAATATTTATGATTTTTTCATGTGTTTTCCATTTCTAACTATATGAGAAATATGTTAGAAATCTGTATTTTCTGCTTGTAATATTGTAAATATTGTAAATATTGTAAAATGCTTCTGTTCTATGTTTATATTTAATAGTTATATCTAATGGTTATATTATGTTCACATTTAATAAAGAGCATTACAAGAAGTCCCAAAAAGTACCTTTCTGCTTGTAAAATCAAACTCACTGTTCCTTCCTTCAGGTCAAAGATCAGTGGGGTGTTCCAGTTCTTTGTCCTGAAAAGAAAGAAAAAAATCAGCATTAAACCCACTAATCTTCACATTGCAAACACAGAGTTGGATTCACTAAGCAAAGCATACATATTTTAATGCTCTAACACTCCTAAAAAGGGGAGGTTTTCAAAATTAAAACAGCATTTAGAAGCCAAGTAACGTAGATAATCACATAATATGGGTATTTTTGCATCCTTTCACACCAGCAGCAGCTGACCCAGGAGTGTCAGCACACAGCAAAACCATATTTAGATGAAATAATGGTATTTTTAAAATATTTCTGAGCTGTTTTACAGTGATGTGGAGGTTGGACAAAGCCCCTTTTCTTGTGTGTCCCATCACAGGCTGTATGTCCAGATCAGTCACCTCACTGAGATACTGAATATTTCAATTAATTCAAAAGAAATTAATTACAATTAATTCTTGTCCTTCCAGTGAAGTGTCTGCTGCTGTTTTACAACTGTTGGATAACCCTGAGGAAGGTGGATTTGTATTTACTCACGAAAACACGTAACACTGAAGAGAAGTTGAAACAACCAAATATCCATAATCCAAGGAGGCTTTAATGACCCTGTCCCGGAATTCCAAGGAATCCTCAGCATCATTAATGACATTGTGCACCTACAAAGGAAAACTGAGGTGAATAAAACACCAACAGATGAAATAAAAACTAATGAGTGAAATATCATCTTTTTTTCCTCTTGAGAAAATCATCCAGACATTGGAAAATTCCCATTTTAAGACTGGGTTGCTGATTATTGGAACATCTGAAATACAACATTTCAATGATCCCATCCCAACAATCCAGGATTTGGGGAAAGATGTGTTTTCTGGAAGAGCTGGAGCACAAATTTTAATGTTTCCACAGGAAATTCAGGAGACACCTCCACGAGCAGGTTGTGCCTTTGCCACCACACGAAAAATCTGCTCCAATTACAACGTTTGCCTCTAATCAACACAGACCTTTGAGCTCAAAGTTTTCAGGCAGCTAAAAATCTAAGGTGGCACCTTACACAAAAAAAAAAGTGTCCTGTTTGTTTGTGGGGGTTTTTTGGAGGGGGTTTTGCTGTTGGGGTTTTTTGGATGGCACCATTCTGAGGGTGGCAACTTCCTTTTGATTCTCTCCATTACACAACCAATTGCAAAACAAGGACTGAAGTCAATTATTTCTAAAACCCTGGAAACCATTTCCAAAGACATATTAATTGCTGTGGCCATAATTAATGTAGCACTTAGAAAAAAAAAATGCAGCAACAACTTTTTTTTTTGCAGGCAAAATTTTCCTCTATGAACGTATAGGAATAAAATCAATCTACAAAGGAATAAAATCACTCTAAAAGTGCTAAAATGAAATATTACTCCTGCCTCAGGGTTGGTTTTACTTCCTCAGTGTTTGCATATTCAGATTCTCTGGAGATCATTCCCAGAGTCCATCTGTTACGAGTCGATGTCTGGGAATGAAATGAAAAAAAATGGGAATTTTTACCTGCTAATTTGTCCTCTGTGTTCCCAGACACTGACTCACCACATCCCACCCACTGCACCAAACTCACCCAGCACTGCTGCTCTTCCAAATTCTTCCCAGTTACAGATCCAACATGAAAAGAGGCAAGAGCAAAAAAGGGCATTCGAGGGCCTAATTAGGAATTTAGGCACTCAGCTTTGATATTGAAAATACAGGCCTGGTGTCCAACACCAAATGTGTCATTTGGAAAAGCTGGAAGAATGGAAATCTTGTCTTATCCCAGTGCTCAGGGAGTGAATGTCTGAGTCAGTGTCTGGGAACACAGGGGACAATTTAGGTTTAAAACTCCTATTTTGCATTAAAAAAAAAGCCCGCAGAGCTGGAAACTGTAATTTTACCTTCATGGTTCTCCTCTTAATTAATGTGATCTCAAAGTTCTTCCACTCCCACCGCTGTTCCACGATGTGGGCAAAGATGACATGGCCATTCCCACAGGCTCCAGCCAGCTGGGTGCCATCAATGGACCAGGAAATGTTAAATATGCTGCCAGTGTTGGGCTTCTCCAGGGCATAAGACCACTGCAAAAAACCAAAAGATTAAAAAAAAAAAGGGATTAAAAATATTCTGGGTACTTTTTAAGAACGATTTCTTGTCCTCAATAGATTTGCAGGGTTGGAATTTTTTAAGCAGCATCAATAAATGAAATTTTCCTTACGAAGAGATTTGATGGCTTAAGTCAGACTGTTGAAAACCAGGGATACAAAAAGCAAAACCATCAAGTAAAGCAAAATTAAAATGTCACAATGCCTGAAGCACATGAGGTACCAGTTTTCTACTCATAATATATTTAAAGTGTACTTTCATTTATAAATCTAAGCAATCACCACATAAAATCAAGTGAACTTACTTAGAAATAATTCTATTTACTCTCTGTTGTTACTGAAGGGAAAGATGCATCAAAAATTTCCTCCAGCAAAGAACTTTATTCTTAATTCCCCCATTTTATGCACAAGACTCCTCTGAAGTTTAGAGCCTTATTAATGAAACCTTGTCCAAAAGTAGGATTTTTCAGACCAAGCCCCTTGTTTTCTATTTCCTGCAACTCAGAAATGCAGAAATCACACCAATCACCTCTAATCTCTGAAGGACAAAAAACGAAATAACCTTTTTGTGGAATTTTAGGAAGGCTTTAAACCAGGTTTTAAAACAAGAAGCAAATCTCAACTGCTGCCTCTTCATTACTCTGTAATGGAATATTTTTTAAAAAACATGTAGTAATTGGAGAACTACTTGAGTATTTGACTGTCTTTGAAATCTTAAGAAGCAAATCAGTAAGAAGAACCAAGTTAAATTGTAAGTAGACACTGGATTGACTTTTGGATACATGAAATTATACCAAAGGGGACACAGCTGGAAGAAAATCCTCACCTAATGTTTGTAACACGTTTTATATTCTGATTTCTTCTGCTGCATAAAATTAGCAACCCCCAAGAATCGAAACCTTCACCCAAAGCCTTCGTGTGATTTACAAGGAGTGAAATCACCAAAATTACAGTAAAATAAAAGAGTTGGGGCTTAAAAGCTGACTAAGAAGGAAACAAAAGGGGCTGGAATCCAAAGCCTGAGCTGTGCTGATGGTTTGTGGAATATTGTGTAGGAGTTGAGGCTCTTTTACACATGGGGTGAGGGAAAGGTGATGTCAGTTCTGACTGAAATTCCAGCTCCAAATCCCCCTCTCCTGCTGACAGACACCCCAGCCCATCCATGGGGATGGATCTGGGGAGAAGTGGGGATTTCTGGAGCACTGTCTCACCAGGATGAAAGCACTCCCTGGGAATGAAAGCCACAATATTCCATGCCTGGCTCCCCCATGGCCAAGGAAGAAGCTCTTCCATGGTTGTAACCAACACTCCAAGGGTTTTCTGGGACCTCCATCCAAGCCCTGTGTGCCACAGCTGCCCAAAACACTGGATGGAATTTCTTTTTCCAAACTGGAAACTGGGATCCTCCCAAACACACAAGATCATTTCCCTCAGATCAGGAATCCACCCCGGAGTCAGGAGGAATAAAGGGACATCAAGCCACCAACAAAGAACCAGTTGATGGCTTTGATTTGATTTAAGGAGCTCCAAAAACGTGGATTTGGAGCTACTTTCCCACATGTAACAGATCCACTGAAGATAAAAAGGGATTAAAAATATTCTGGTTATTTTCTAGGAACGATTTCTTGTCCTCAATAGATTTGCAGGGTTGGAATTTTTTAAGCAGCATCAGTAAATGAATTTTTCATTACGAAGAGATTCGATGTCTTAAGTCAGACTGTTGAAAACCAATTCCAAATCTACTTCTTTATTCTTTTAACCATAAGCCTTTTTTTCCCAGGTCATTGAATCCTAAGATATTTCCAGATCATAACCTATATTTAAAAACAAAAAATAAAAATCTAAAGAGCCATTCAAAGCTTTATTTTCCAATTCTTTTCGAAGCTCCCAAGTGTAAATCCCACCACTCCAATGATTCATAGTCCCTGCAGATGTCTGGGGCATTTATCATGTATATAAAATGTTCTAACAAAAATCATTTAGCTCTCCATTTCTAAGACAGGAACAACTTCAAAATCTGAAATAGCATTTCCTAAATACACTGATTTTCTTTTTTTTTTGAAATAGGTATGACTATGACTCCAGGAATGACTTCATGAAGTTGTTCCAACATTACCTGTAATATTAGATTTTGGCTTACACTTTTCCTGCTTTTGGAGCAGATGGATCTGGTCCTTTTTCCAAGATCCTGCTGTGGGAGTGGAGTGGGGAAGGAGGAAATCAGGGAATTTCAGTCATTCTTACCATCTCTCACTGTGTAAATATTTTGACCTGCTCAGTAATGTCAAGGGAAGCAGCAGAGCCACAGGAAATAGCTGACATAAATGAACTTTTTAAGCACTGCCCTCCATCCAAGTGATCCCATCCTGAAAAGCTGAATATCCATCAATCCAGCCAGCTTTGCATCTCAATATATGGATTTTATTGGTGCTCTCTGCAGGTTTAATGATCGTTGGCATTAACAAGGCAACAAATTTCAACGTTAAATATATTCTGTTTGCTATTCTGTAGGATGTTTTATATATAAATATATATACACACATATATATATATAATTTCTAATGCTACAGGAGCAAAAGTGGTTTCTAAATGAAGAAATGAAGCTTCTAAAGTTGCTGTTAGATCTGTAATTCTCATTTTTAACATGAGAACTAAGTCACCAGGTAGAAAGAACACGAGAATTTGCTGTAATTCTGCCCCAAACTGAACACACATGCTAGAGAAGAGTTAATGATATAGATATTTATTGTCCTGATGGCTCCCTGGGGAGCAATTTGCCACTACAGCCCCATTACATCAGACACAATAAAAATGTCTGTGTTGACCAGTAAAAGCCAGGTCTGGTTCTCTTCAAACTCCATCACTGGTGGGATGGGAATCATTCCTGCTTTTGCCTCCATCCCAGCAAAGCTTCTCCTTCAGTAACTATTTACAGCCAATGTCAGCAAAGGAACTTGCAGGAAAAATTCAGGATTTGAAGGTAATAAATTAAGATTGGGAGCTGATAAAGCATCTGGCACCAGCTACTGGTAATTTTCATTTTAATTAATTGTAATGTTGGCTTTGTTTCTTTAAGAGTTGAGTAATAAAGCAGATTTTATCCTCTCAAATAAGCCCGAAAGGCTCCTCTTCAGGAATTTAAAATCCCTGACAAACCCAGCCCAAGCTGATGGGAAGGTGAACCAGGATCTACTGAAGGTGCCCAAAACCCCCACAGCGATTTTTTCCCCAAAAAGAGCAACGAACCCAAGAAAAAAGGGAGCAAATGGGCCCATAAAAGTCCCAAATAAGGAAGGTTTGCTGCAACAAAAAGCTGCAGAACCACAGGAAACCCACAGAGACAATGAGGTCAATCTGTGCTCGGGGCTGACTCACACCAGTGGAGGGACAGGGAACTG